AGTATTGATATGTTAAACTTTAAGTCCCTACAGAATATGACCAAAAAATTTAAAAATTAAAATATATTTTAAAAATAGGAAAAAAGAATTATATATGTTTACACATAAGTCCAGAGTTCTAACCATATACAACATTGTTGCAGGACAGTCCCGCAAACACTCCTTTTCCTGTCTGCTGCCTTCGTTCACCACCCACCCCCTTCCTTTTTAAACAATCATCTACCCGAGAGACAGCATGGCAGCAACTGGAGTGTCATGACAAGAAGCACATATTCAGAAACTTACAGATTTTTTAAAATAGCTATTTCTAGTCCCAAGACAAATAAATATTCTTTTTTTTTAATTTAACACTGTTGTCCAGGTGTGGTGGTGCATGCCAGTAATCCCAGCACTCACAAGGCTAGGGCAGAAGGATTGTTGGGAGTTTGAGGCCAGCTTGGACTAAAGTCAGCTTGCACTACATAGTGAGACCCTGTCTCAAAAAGGCAAAAACAAAAAACAAAAATTAACACTATTGAAACTCAAAAACTATAACAAGGTAAATTAACTCAATGAGAAACAGAAATAGAAGCAAACCTGGCACTAGAAAGTAGTTAAGAATGATAGATATTACATAATCACGTGGATTTTTTAACTACATAAATGTACATATCATGATGAAATCAATGCTAATACTGATATCCAACTTTTCATTAAATAAAAACCAAGCTGCCTCAAATTTTCTAATCGAGAAAAAAAAAAAAAAAGTAGCCTTGCTCACATCACGTGCTTACAAGAGGCGCAGCCCGCACGACAGATTCCTCCCACAACCCAGGAGACCCCTGCAGCATGCAGCTTAGCAATGCATTTCATAGTCACGGCAACTGGTAGCCATTAGGCACGCTTCTCAACCACTGAAAGCTTCACTCCGCTACATGTAAGTGAAAAGGTTAGGCGGTCAAGAACAGAACCAAAATCAGTAACAAGACTCAGGCAAAACCTCAAATGAAAAAGATGCCATGCTTTGTCTTCTACCACAAAATGACTGATTTTATTACCATTTTTCCTCTACAACAACCACTTCTAATTTATTAAGTACACAAACTGACCCTTGCTGCATAATAATCTGAATGGCTAAGCAAAGGAGCTCACCCTGACCCATTAGAGAGTGTGACAGGCTTGTATCTATTACACACTTTCTAAAATCAGGAAAATTTATTCAGTGTAATTATTTGGTAAGTAAAGGAAGGGTACAGGAAAGGTTAGGACTATATTTATTACAAGAGCATTTTCAAATATTAAGGGTTTTTTATTTCTTCTTTTGAGTTCATATACTAGGGAGACTATACGATATTTACAAATGTAGGTCTGGCTTATTTCACTTATGATATCTTCAAGCAGCATCCACTTAAATATAAAGGCTTCAAGTTTATCATTCTTTATAGCTGAGTAATACTCCATTGCATAAAATACGACATATTTTTCATCCATTCCTCAGGTGATGTGCATCTTTGTTGTTTCCAAGATTTGGCTATCACAAATTGTGCTGTTATAAACATAGGTATACATATATCACTGATATGACTTTTCAGTTACTCTGGGAAAATTCTCAGTAGGGGGATAGCTGGTTTGAATGGGATTTCCAGTCCTAGTTTTTTAAGGAGTCTCCACAGTGATTTCCATAATGGTTGCACCAGTCTACATTCCCACCAGCAGTGGAGAAGGGTTTCTTTTTCCCCACAGCCTCTCCAACAATTGCCGTTGGTTGATTTCTTTATGATAGCCATTCTTTCTGGGGTGAGATGGTATCTCAGTGTTGTTTTAATTTGCATTTCATGGCTAGTGATGTGGAGCATTTTTTCATATATTTATTCATTTCTTTAATTTTGTCCTCTGAGAAGTATGTGTTTATCTTGGATGTCCATTTCTGGGTTAGGTCTTTAAATTTTGGGGCCCTAATGTTTTTTAGTTCTTAATAAATTCTAGAGAGCAGACCTTTGTCTGAGTGCTTATTTGTCAAGATTTTTTCCAAATTTGTGGGTTGTCTTTTCACTTTGTTGGTAATTTCTTTGGACATGCAAAAACTTCTCAATAAGAGGAGGTCCCAGTTGTTAATTCTTTCAGGTATTACCTGTGTGATTTGATTTTTGTTCAATAACTCTTTGCCTACCCCTATGTCTTCAAGAGTTCCTCCTACTTTCTCTTCCAGGATATTTAGTATTTCCGTTTTAATGTTTAGAACTTTAATCCATCTTGACTTTAGCCTCAAAAACTTGGTCAATGGTTAAATGATAAAGTTTTTCAGAAAAAAAAATATAATAAAGTTTTCTCATAAAAGATGCTCTTGGAACTAAGTTATGAAACAAAGGTTTTCACATATATACTGTAATTAATTGTTAATCTCATTGTGTATTAAATGTATTCATGATTCCCGATGTACAAGTCCTCCAAAGTATAAAAAAAAGATTTTACTGTGGTAAGACTTTCTTTCAGATTCAGACCACTGCCTTTAACAAAAAAAGTGTAATGTATACCCCACTAAAGGACAATAGGTTAGATAAAACTTATGTATTAGATAGAGACGATTAGTTAAAAAGGTTATGTTATGTCAAAATGAAAATTTAAGTATGTTACAAATGTTATGATTGTCATGTTCCAGTGTTATATATGGTTTCAATTTCTAAATTTATATGTAAAAAGAAATAATTGTCTACTTACATTCTACAAGGATTTAGATCTTAAAATATCCATTGTTGTTAGAAAAAAAAAGAAATATTAAGTGACCCTGAAATTCTTTTTTCTCCCTCAAAGTCATGCACTGAGAGTCCTATAAAGTCCACAACACTCTCTGGCACTAGCAAGTCTGCAGTGCACCTCAGGGTCAGGTAAACATGGCCTACTGCTAGGACGCAGCTCAGCCAGTGCTCGGGTCCACCCTGCTAAAGACTTCCTTGCTGCCATGGAGTCTGACAGTTAGTGGGCAGGGCAGGTAACAACTCAGGCTTGCCCACCACCCCCTCCTGAGTGTCAGTGCCCACCCCCCAGAACACAAGCTCAAGGGGTTGCTCTTCTGTCTTGCTCACAGGCTATTCCAACACCTAAGCTGGGCAATGCACACTGTGGATATTCACAAAGCAAAAATGAAATGCAACTTCTGGTAATGCCTTCAATTCTTACAAAACATTATATTGATTTTGGAAGAATTATTCATTCATTCGTTTATTTATTTATTAGGTATATGGTCTTGCTATGCAGCTCGGACTCATAGTGATCTTCCTGTCTCAGCCTCCCCAGTGCTGGGATTACAGATGTGCACCACCATGCCCAGTTTCGGTGGCCAGCAAACCATGTGGTATTGGGGATCGAACCCAGGTCCTTGTGCTTGCCAAACAGGCACTTAGACCACCAAGCTATCTCCCTAGCCCCACCACATCAATATTAAAGCCAAAGTTTTCTTCATCAACATATTGACTTTTTTCTTATTAAAAAAAAAAAAAAAAAAACTCATTTGGATTTAGAGGATGATGTTCCAGTAGGCAGAATTTCACTCACTCACCTCAGAGACACTTCATGGCATCAAGGCTCTGTCAGCATAAACTCACTTCTATCTCTAATAGCTGTCCTTAGAAAGTCATTGGCCTACCAGTGTTTTACATAAAGCAATCACCTACCTATTCCCTACAATTTCACAGTTGTAGGGACTTTTCGATATTATTCACCTCATTTTATAAACTTAGCCTTAAGTTTTCTAGCTTCTCTTTCTAAACAGATAATCTAAATAAATAAATGCTGATGGTCTGTAGATATTAAAATGTCATGACTTCATTCAGTATTTCCAACTGTTTTCAAATTGAAAGACAAAAACATTTGCATATTCTCTTACTGCAAATACTCTTCAAATTTCTAAATCATATGCTTAAAAACAAAGGCAGAGAGAGTGGGCATGGTGGCACACACCTCTAATCCCAGCTCTTGGGAGGCTGAAAACAGGCAGATCATTACAAGTGCAATCTACATAGTGAGACCCTATGGACTCTCTACTAAATTCATAAAAAAATAAATAAATAAAAACAAAGGCACTAAGTTTTGAATTCAAAAACACACAAGTAAAAAATAAAATACTGATCGCATTGTTTTCTCACAAGGTGTAACCAGGAAAATCTCCCATACTGTACTTACATTACTTAAACTCAGTAACAGTAAAAAAAAAAAAAAAGGTATTAATCTGGTTTTCATAAGTCACTGAAAATTTAGAGATAAAATTATAACTAAAGCTAGAGGGATTTATAAGAAAATGTCAGAGTCCATCAGTAAAGGAGTCTAAGAGCCAATGGATTGCAACTGTTATCCCTTAAAAACTTCCTAACCTACCTAATAGTGCAAATGCTCATACTTTGATTTTGTGCAAGCTACAATTTCTTTTTTGTTTTTGTTTTTGTTTTCGCTTTTTGGTGGAACCGGGGATTGAACTCAGACCCTTGTGCTTGCCAGGGAAGCACTTATTCCACTGAGTCATCTCCCCAGCCCCGGAGCTACAATTTCTGAAAAATCTGTTCATTCCTAAAGGATGCCAGACCCCAGCTAATCATACAGGTAAAATCTGTAACAAATATACTAGATTACTTCTAGATTCCTTTTACAGGGATCCACCATATCTTGTCTAGAAAAAAAATTATATGACATGTAGCAAGGCCTTAATTAACTATACTGAGGGCCTTAAGGAGCACTACAGCTGTTCTCTCCTAAATAAAAAGTAAAATTAATAAAATAAGCCATCCTCAAATCAGATGACATTAGACATTCCAGCAACAGTACAGTACTTGTGCAGTTTTAAAAAATTAATGTTGAGCCGGCAAGATAGCTCAGTGAACTAAGCACTCGCCTAGGCAAGTATAGGGACCAGGGTTCAATCCCTCACACCACACGCTGTGTCAGCCCCGCCCCTGGGCACACAGAGCTGGCCACCAAGTCCAGGCATGGTGGCACACACCTGTAATTCCAGCACCAAGGAGGCTGAAAACAAGAGGATCACTGTGAGTCTGATCTGTGTAGTGAGACCCTGTAGACCCCGTACTAAATACATTTTAAAAAAATACAACCTCTTTCAGCCTAAACAAGCCAGAGTAGTCAGTGGCCATTTTCCCTCACAGGAGTTCAGATTACTTCTTCAGAGGGGGACACCATAGGCAGCTGAGTTAGATAGACATATGTGAGACAGGGCTAGGTCCTTGAAAAGAGCCAGTATGGAAGACAAGATACCCTGCAACTATGGGAGAGACAGGCACTCCTGCTGTGCACCAGACCTTAAGACAAAAGATTAAACAAATGCAGCCCCATACCTCCCTAGGGATAGACATCAGGAATTGATATTATAAACATTAGACCAGACAGGTATCAACTGACAAAGCCAGGAAGAGTCACTAACCAATCCCTACAGGAAGAGCTCCTGTCCTATATTCATGCCCACTTGCTACCTGACTGGTACCTGACTGACTTCCCCATTTGATCCCGATTAAATTAATTTCACCTGAGCAATTGTGCTTCTCTTTTACTGGCTGACCATAGTCTGGTCCCCCTCATGCGCACCCAGTGAGTTCCCATGTTTCGCACCTTGGACCCACCTCACCTAGTGGTTTTGCCCTATAAAAATCCCTAGAAAAAGCAGGGTCTTTGGCAACCCACTCAGTCCCCTTCTGTCCCTCTCTCAGACAAAAGCTTTCTTTCCCCAATAAACATATTCTGCTCTTTATAAGACAGATAAATAAACAAACAAAAGTAAAACAATATATGTATCTCGTTCCAAGAGTACCAACAAAACACTTGGGCTTCCCTTCCCAACATAAGACATAATGCACAAGGTGACAGCTTATTATTGAACAGAACAGCACACTAGCAGCCACACTGCACATCCAATCAGCAATAGGAGCTCCTGAGGAGACTTTGGACAACCCAAACACTGAAGCTCAAATTTCCTGACTTTGAGCGTCTACAGCGAAAAGTACAACTCTCTGTCTAGTTTGGCAATGGGCAAGACAGGTGATGCCAGTGTTTCTATGACCAGGTACTTACACTGAACACAGGGTCTGGGTCAGACAGCGTGGCCATCAGCCTCTCGCAGAGCGTGGTCCAGTTCTCACAGTTCAGGACATCAGAGGGAGGAGCAGAGCACAGGGTCTGCAGGGCTTCGTATCTCACCTGCGATTTTTTAAAATGTGTGTTAACACCTCACTATCAGAAAAATTCCTATTCTCCAAAATAGAACTTAACAAAGACCTGAAAGGCAAAGTCTGAACCACTTTCAGTGCTATTTATGAGCAGGCAATGTCCCTTTAGAACTCATGAGAACTCATTTCTCTATGTGCTAAGCAGAGAAGATAACTAGTTTTCTGTGTCAAGTAAAACAAAATCTGAACACTGAGTTACTAGGTGGAGCTCTCAAGTCTAAGTGAATCAGAAGGGACTTTGGGACAGAACGACATTGGGCAGATGGCCAACCCTGCAGACTCCTCAGCTAGTGGATACCAACAGGCACTCACAGGCCAGGAGTATGACCTCAAGCTCAGCCCGGCGTGCAGAGACAGTCGGACAGACAGGGCATTAGCAAGAATGACCAAGCCTCACAAGAAAATTAGTGGCATTTTTTTTTTTTTTTTTTTCCAGCTAACCCATGTTTTTCAACCTTCTAATTACTAAGGTAGAAAAATAAATCACTCCACAGGGGAATGCAAAATTTAATTTTGGCATTTTTATAGCAAGTTTACTTCTCTACTGGTCTTTCAGATCTTAATCTGAACCTCTCAGAACGCTGTGACCCAAGGCGCCACTGGGGAACAGCTGCACTCCACAGGCCTCGGTGCACAGATGCACGCGCTCCCACCTTGGAACAACGCAGCATCCAGCCCGGCCCAGAAACCAGGCATCTGCAGCAGCAGGAGATCTCAGCTTTCTCAATGGGAAAGACAACGCGGATATTCCTACAAAGTGCCAAATCACCTCAGTTCGTGACAGGCACTGGGGATACGAAGTGGGCTTTGGAAACTAGGAATTAATTTTCAATTTAGTCTCTTTTTTTCAGTTAAGAATTTAGTACTTATAGAAGCAGAAAAGAGTACTGAGTAAGAATAGCTTTCTGAGAAATCCATTTAAACTGAAAACAATTGAATTTTTATCATATAGAAGTCAAATCTCACGTTTACCATCTGTCCAAATATTATTTAATAAGAATCAAAAATAAAACGATGTAAAATTTTAAAAGAAAAATGATTCTGATTTTTCAGACAGTTTCTAAGAATAAATCCTAACTACTCATGTAACAGAAAATAAAAAGTCTGCCAGAACAAAGAGCAAATGCCTTAAGATAAAAAAAATGCAAAGATCCTTATCTTTATTGCAAATTGATTTCCAAATGAAATAGTACATCATACACAGTAATCAGTAAAATCTCCTAAGGTAAACATACACAATTCAGTGTACATTTCAAAACATGTCACACAAGTATATAATTCAAAAATTTTAAGCAGTTGCTTATATTTTATACAAACAGAAAAACGTTAAATGAATTATTTCATACAAGATTACTAAAATATCACACACAAAGTAACAGTAGAGAACAGTTTTGAGGACAAATGCTTTACCCCTTTAAAAAGGAAGCTAAGAAAAGATTCATTTTCTTCTAATAACGCATTACAATTCATGGAGGATGCTCCCTGTTCTGTGCCCTTCCATTTTAAGGTGGGCGAGTGGATGTGGCCACCAGCCCAGGACACCCAACAGCGCAGGGCGGGGTGAGGGCGAGGGCTGTGACCATGCATGCACGCTCACCTCTTTAGGCTGCCGGGGATCCAACTGGTCTACGATCAGCTGTAACTTTCCCGGACAGAACTTGTAACTCTGCAACACAATTGACAAAGCACAGGTTTATTGAGTAGACTACTGAAAAGGACTGTTCTCTGCAATTTTCCTCATGGAAGTTCAAGCACAGATGCCTTCAGAATAAGCCACAGTGATCTATTTTGTCATTTTCTTTATGCAGCAAACTTAGAATTATTTTTCCCAAGGGTTTTAAAAAGAGAACAGAATGTCCCAGTAGCACAGCGTAGCTTCACATATATACAAACTACTATTTGTTGAGAAAATGGCAACGTGTCAGACATTACATAAGGCCAGGATGTCCCTCAAGGAGAAAGGCAAATGAGAAGGAAAGGGGAGGTGAGGAGCACAAGCAAGAGAGCACCACGAGGCCTGGAGCTCTTGCTCCTGTTGCTTCCCATGCCATCTTCATTTATTTCCACAGTTTTTTGATGAAAAAATTATGAAGTGAAAACTTAGAAAAAATTTACAGTAGACAATAAGCTATTCAAGAGAAAGACAACATCTTTCTCCCCATCTAAAACTATTTAAAAATTTATAATATCTATAAGATTGTCTAAACAAAAATTACACTAACAGCTACAAGCTCTTATCCAGCACGTTACAAGTGCTACACTCTGAAGTCACAGTCACTCTCAAACACAAGAAACTGGAAGACCAGAGGCTAAGTAACTTCTCCAACCCTGAGGCTGGCGGGACCCTCCTCTCCCAGACTCAGCGACATCGAAACACCAGCTCACACCAGAAGCTTCCTCTCTAGAGTCAGCTGAAGGCGTTGTGGGCATGGAGGTCCCACAGGCACCTCGAAATGAATGTGTCCCAGTAGAATTCATATCTGCTTCTTCATTCCAAACCTGCTGGCCTCAGACACCACCCAATGGATGCCCTCAGCCCACCAGACCTCCATGTGGTCTCCAGCTGGGATCACTCACGCCTCGCTGCCCCTCACTTCCCGCTCCCCTGTGCCCTGCCCTGGTCAGGCTGAGCTGTCCCTCTCCACATCCCCATGGAGACCATGGCCCCTCCCTGCTGACTGCTCTGTCCTGGAAGCCACCACAGTATCCCCTTTTTTTTTGTTTTTTGTTTTTTGGGGGTTTTTTAGGTGGTACCAGGGATCAAACTCAATACCTTGAGCTTGCCAGGCAAGAACTTATTCCACTGAGCTATCCCCCCAGCAAAGACCCCCTCCCCCCCGTGAGAAGGCTCAGCCAACCTCCAGTCCTTGCATCTACAGCAACCACAGGACCCTACTGCGCTGCCTCCGCATGATCCAGCATGTTCCGAGTCATCCCAGCACTCCTGATCAGCGCCGCCTGCTGTCTTCACTGCACTCCTCTCCACACTGCCCCAGATGTTCCTGACACCATCACCCTCCAGCCCCTGAGCCTTAGACTCAAGTGAGGCCCCAGCCACACCTCCTGTTCCCACACTGTCTCTTCACAGCTCGACAAGACCACCTCTAGGAACTCTATCCTCATCCCCTTCCACGTGTCCCCACCATGCCATCTCAGCCGGGACCCTCAGGATGTCCTTCAGCTGCAGTGACAGCTGCCAGCTGGTCTCTTCACAACCACTCTCCCCCCTTCCCATGCTGCTACAAACTGACAGGTGAATCTTCTGGACCACATTTCTGTTCAGAAGCCTGGCATGAGCCGCTCTGCCTACAAACCAATCCAACTGCCTTTGAACGCATGAATTTACTTCACAACTATCCCACACTTCCACCACAGTTTTATAACTAGGAACTATAAATTATTACTAGAGCAGAATTTATCCTTTGCTCAGCAGTACTGAGTATTGAATGCAGTGGCCTCAAACGTGCCAGGCAGGCACTGAGCCACTGTCTTAGCCCACCCACTGCGGGCCTGACCTACCATGCAATCTTCTCCTTCACATACACTACAGGCCACCACGCTCCCTAGGTTCTCGGCAGCTTTGGAGGTTTTGTCCATACCTGGACTGAAACACTTTTCTCTCTAGCTCTTTGATACTCTCAGTTATAAGCTCACTTTTTGGAAATCCTTGATACACCACGTCTACCCAGCTAGTCTATCACTGTCATGTAAAACAAGGTGCTATCTTCTCTGCGTTCCATCTTAGGTGCCTTGGGGGAACAACACATGCAATTCCTCTTGGCACTACTGAAGCTCCCAACAGGATGCCCTGCACACGGAAGGCATCAACTCACACCCATTCCGTGAGCTGCAGCCAACAGCTCCTGTATTCCTGCACCTGCTTTAGCCTTCAGGGCGCACCCACCTGGAGGAGCATTCCCACTTACCATGCTTACCATGCCAGACCTTTCAGCTACCTCCTTAAACACAACACAGCATTCCATGAGCTACAGTCAATAGCCCATGTTCTCCTTCTGCACTTGCTTTAACCTCTAGTGCGCACCCACCTAGGGGGGCGTCCCCACTTACCACACTAGACCTTCCAGCTACCTCTTTTTTTTTTTTTAATTTATTTATTTTTTCTTTGTTTTTTATTTTCATTTACCACAAAATTCCAAATTGAGACAAGATACTTCCTGGATAGTTTTGGAAACACAGCATTTTTTTTTTCAATAATTAGCACACTGCATACATTCTTCCTAGTGGTCAATTGCTGTACAAGATGCGGACTTGATATCCTATTTACAAACACCACTAGAACAAATCATCCTATTCATTAAGAGAATGTAACTATATATCTATCCAAACCACTTTGAATACACAGATACAATCGTCTGTATACCCTTTTTTTGTTAAGTTCCATTATTTGAATATTTTTTTAAAATTTTATTTATTTGTGTGTGTGTGTGTGTGTGTGTGTGTGTGGCCAGCTCAGCCCACCAGGTGGCAGGGCTGGCTGGCATGTGGTGCTGGGGGATGAACTGCGGTCCCTGTGCTTTGCTAAGCTTGTTCTATATTACAGGTGTGTAAATTCAGCAAAATATTCCAAAAGAGTACAGTAGCCCATAATAGCACTGGGTCTTCTGCTTGACTGGCAATGTCAGAAATTGTCGACCTGAGTACCCCACAGCTCAACATAACAGCATGGCTTTACTTCTTATATTTCATTTTTATACTTTTCTGCTGGATGGCCAAGACCAAGGTAAAGCAGGACCTATGCAACAAGAGTTGTAGCTTTTGGGTCTGATAAGGTCAGTGAAATCCCCTCAGGATTTATCCCGAGATCCTGCACCTCAGATTGTAGAACCTTTGTCAGTGTCAGCCATGTGGATGAGTCATGGCCATTGCTTGTCCAATGTGCTCTCTGTGAAAGCCTGAGAGAATGTTTTCTCCCCACATGACTCTCCTTAGGTACACTCTGCATCATTGATCACTTTCTTCTTTGGCTCCATAATCTCCTTGATCAGAAAATTTGGGACACTGCCCAGTTTCATGACATTACAGTACAAGTTCTCATATGTCCTGAGTCTTAATTGACCTTAGAAGGCTACCAGCTACCTCTTTAAACACAGCACAAACTGTTTTTTAAAAATAACTTCAAGCAATGAAGTAATTTTTATTACACCAGACATCAGAATGAGTTCAAAACCCACCTTAAAAGCGACATGCCATGTTCAGATCTCTTTCTTATATTACTGTTTATTAGTAGCTAGCTATAAATTACCACAGTAACTAAAAATAATGTATCTCAGAAAAGCATGTAGAGAATGCTTGTTCACCTGAGTACATATCTGTTAGATCTTCCACTCTAAATATCTATCAGGTTGAACCCACCTACACAGAGCTCTGTCAGTGGCCACCTTGCAATATTAATACAGGCAGAAATATACAAAAGGAATTTCCTAGAAATACATTTACAAGTGTTAAAGGGTAAATTAAACAAATAATTTCTGGGAAAACTACAATGAGAAAAAGCAAAGAAACATAACAGACTAATAGTCTAAGAATACTGCAGAGCTTGAAGAGGCCAGAAAACAGCCTGAACTCAGCTGTGATGATTCAGATCCGAGGAGCAGTGAAAACGAGGGCAGCTAGAGATGCAGGCATGGCCCCTCGAGGAGGGAAGAAAACCCCTGGGGAGAAGACTAAGGGGACTGCCAAGTCCCGCAACAGGACAAGACAGGATGAGGACGAGCTGCTCTGAGAAAGGGCAGCCTCCGACCCACGGCCCTGCCTCCACAACCTGGGAGCACCGGATCCTGACTGGCAACCCCACCATCCTGGGCCTCCCTGTGAGCCCACACAGCACCCCCCACCACTGTCCCCTGGAGCCAGGGAGCTCTGCGGCCACTCACAGTGCAGGTGCACACTCCACCTGCAGTCTGTCAGCTGGTACTTCACTGACTAAAGCATTAATATTAGGTTATTTTATTATTTTTCTTCTAAATATTTACATTAGAAAACAGAAGCATTCTGGCTAATGAAGCACTTCCTGAAACCAATGATGATTAAATACCAAGAGCAACTCACCTGGTTGAAAGAAGAGTCGCTGTCAGAGCAGTTGTCGGTGCAGTAGCTACCACTCCTCTCTCTATGGGCTTTCTTCTGCCTCTCGAGGCAGCGCACCTCCTCTGCATCAAGCCCACTGCTCATGTACTCCACTGTGGCCGCCAGGACGCTCTTCAGGGAATGCAGCATGTCTTTGTACCTTCCAAATCAGAGAGTCTTAGTAGGAAGAAGACTGTCAGCAATGATCAGCCAACTAAGTTACACTACACAATTCTTCCCTCTAATGGCACAGTGCTACACAAAACTCTCAATTAGTTTCTCAAAAAATGGTACAGGGCCGGGCATGTAGTTCACCAGCACAGTGCCTGCCTGCAGGCACAAGGTCCTGAGTTTGATTCCCACTATCAAAAAATTTAAAAATGAAATAATAAAAGGCTACAACAGAGTTGTGGCACAGGCATAAAACTGAAGAGGATATCAAGACATGTGCCACTTCCTCGGCTTCTTCCATCTAGTTACAGAGCCAAAGCAATAAGAACAGAACAAAGCCAGATGCCTCAGAGGTGAGTATTCACAGCCAAAAGACCAACTACAGGCCAGGCTGCTGCACTGCCGCCCCTCTGCTCTTGTGCGTCTCCTCCTCCACCCTCCCTCCAGTACGCTGATTCTCCTTCTCCGCCAATGCTTTACAGCAACAGGCACTGGCAGCCCAGGCCAACAGCACAGTCCATACCCGGAGTCACACGTGAGCTGCATGGCAGGCAGGTCCTTCCCTACACAGCCAGACAACCCAGATTCAGCAAGGCCGGGAGAGGGACTTCCGAAACCCATTAGAATTTGACCTGGAGAGGCCGAGGAGATGGCTCAGTAGAATAAGCACTTCCCTGGCAAGCGCAAGGGCCCAAGGTCAATCCCTGGTTCCACAAAAAAAAAAAAAAAGAATTTGACCTGGATAATTTCAAAGACCTCTTTCATCTCTAGTAGTCAAAAAAACTCAACCGTAACTTACAGTGACATTCTCTATTTTTTAAATACAGTCAAGCATCTATATCATATTAGACTGAGATACCCAAAAGAACTAGAAAGATAATTTTAGATATAGGAAGGACCTTAAGGTCTAATCCTTTTATGTTAAATTAAAAAATAAATGGGAGCTAGACCACTGACATCTGTACTTAATTAAAATTTTTAAAAAATGGAAATTTAAATATACATAGCAGAGATCCACTCCTAGCCCAGGCCTAGTGAGGGTGTGGGAGAGCTTCCGGCTAACCTGCGCTGACGGAACCTACTGGTCCCAGCCCAGGTGCAGTGTGGGTGAGACCCACTTCCACTCCCTTGGGACGACCCCGACGACTCCGCAGCACCTCGCCCACCCTGCCCACCGAGTAGGAATTTCTGTCGCGCTCCAGGAACCCCCAGACACAGTCCTAGCCCAGGCCCGGTGAGTGTGTGGGAGAGCCGCCTCTCTGTCCTACTCCACCTTGTCCCCTCCAGACTCAGCTCAGGCCTGGCATACAGGCAGGGGGTTGAACCTTGTAGCTGCAATCACTGAAGAAAGTGTAGGGGACAGAACCACCCAGCTAGTCCAGGAACAGAACACCTTGCCAAACGGGCACAACAAGTTCACCCCCAAGGACAAAGCAGGAAGGAGCTAAGCACAGCAGCAGAACCAAGCCAGGCACAACTGAATGAATCCAAAATTTGTAGATCTTCAGTGGGTGCTAAGGTTGTAACTGCACGAAAGATCTACAACAAAGGTAAGAAGACAGTGCTACACAAAATGACGA